TTCTTCCTTATGGAAAATCAGCTATTGATTCTACATTTCCATTAAAAGCAACTGAAAAAAGAATCACAAATTTGAACTAATCTCTATCCAGTTCCGGCCATACTGTTTAGACTAAAATTGCATTTTAAACGACATTTGATTCGCTATTATTTCGACGATGCGATGGCTGTAATTTTTGGCGATGAATTTTTACTTTTCCAACTGGAATATGTTTGCCACTGGGAGTTTCCAAAAAATGTCACAAATTGGATGAAAAATAGCAATTAAAGTGAAATTGAAAACCGAATGAAATGTGTGTTGTTGATAAGCGATTTATATGCTCCAATTGGCTGAGTAATAACCAATAATTAATTTGTGGTTCAGGGGACATAAAATATTTGTAACAATTAGCTTTTACACGATTAAGCATAAATTAAAGGTAGCAAGGTAGGATAGGAAGATAGATAAACATTGAAAACCGAAAATTTAAAATTACTAACATTAGGTTTACAGGAGTAGATTTTTGGTTTCTTAAAATCGAGAAAAGGGAATCTTCATTATGAGTTCTAGTGATGTGAAAGAACGTATTATTTTCTATTCTTAAAATGTCTAAATTAAAAGTGTTTTAAATGATCCATGCACCACCACTCTTTTTTGGTAATAAAATTAAAAAATAACCAAGTCAAAAAGTCCTACTTCCACTTTAAACTTTTCCACAATGTTGTATTTCGTCAAGCATTAAATAACTCCATTAGAGTTGGTTAAATTAGCACTTTGACAAAGAACCTAGATACTGCCCATTGTTTATCTATCGTTACAAATATTAAATTGTAGCGGACGAACAAGTTCCGATAAATAATTTATAGCGGGCAATAATTTTTCCACAAGCTTTGTGTTTTATACAATTACGCGGCCGGATTCATGTTTTCTTTATATTGTGCTTATTAAAGCGTTTCCATGTCAAGAGAGATTTTCTTTCCGATGCTTTCGTATTTTTTCCGGAAGATACGTGATTCGTATGATTTTTTAAGGGACGTGACTTTTTATTCAATTTTTTTTTTGTTGGGTATATATTTTTGGCGAGATTTTTGGTTTATTATTTATTGTACTAATAGTACACACATGGCAAAAATTATTGCATATAACGATATTTTTATTTTATTTTGGACCTAAAATGATCTTTTTATATTTTTGGACATATTGGCTTACTACACGACTAATTAATATAAAATTAAAAATCTAAGTGCAACTAGGCTGTTATTATAATTTTATTTCATAATGAGTGAAAATCAACAATAACAAAGTTCATCTTAAACAGCAAATATTGAAAACAATTTTAATTATTTCTCACAACTAATAGTCTGTATTGCCTCCTTGTGACGTGGCATGCTCTCAATTAAGTTGTCCAGAAGATGTTGAAGAATGGCTTCCCATGTTTCGCGCGCAGCAATTTTCAATTCATTTAAGGTACGGCGGAATCATTCCTTTTGGCAATATGACGTTTTAGCATGTTCCAAGCATGCTCGATCACATTCATATCTGGAGACATCGGTGGCCACCACAGTTAAAGTGCGATGGGGAGGACCATTATCGTCCATGTAAACAAACTCATCCCTCCCTGCCCCTCGAAATGGACGCACAATAGGCTCTAAAACGTCTCTAAGATATGAGGCACCTGTCATTGTGCCTTCAATAAAAATAAGAGGAGTTCGAGCTCCGTGCATTATACCTGCCCATACCATAATGCTTCCCCCTTGAAACGGGACACGGGGTTGAGCTGCATTCAAGCATGCTCGTCTTCCAGATGCTCTCCAGACCAAAGTTCGTCGCGAGTCTGACACTAGGCCCATTCTTGTTTCATCACTAAACATGACGAAATTCCAATTAGGTCCATTTGCTCTCATCTCCTCAGCCCATTGTAGTCGCGTAATTTTGTGTTGTAAATTAAGCTTCAAAACACGCAGAGACCTCCTTAAATGTAATCTTCTGTCATGGAGTCTTCTTGTTATGGTCTTTCTTGAAACATTTACTCCTTCAAGGCGAGCTAACTCATTTTAATAGTAGTACTAGAAAGCAGGGGATTTCCTCGTGCAATTAGGGATATTTGACAGTCTTGCACAGCAGTAGTAACTCTCTTTCTACCTCTTCCAGGCCGGTCTGTAACCTCGTTTCTCTCCCTGAATTTTTTTAATATTCGCGAAACATCGCTTTGGTTAACTCCTAGAATTTCAGCTATTGCAACTTGCCGGTAGCCCTGTTTTGAAACAGTGTTACTATTATGACTCTATTAAACTGTGAAATAATGAAACCTAAGAGACCACAAATTGAAATGTGCAAGAATGTGTAATAATATTGGGTCTAAACGATAAACGTTGTTTACCATATCCATTTACAACTCCTTTCCGTATATTTTTAAAATATATATGCAATAATTTTGACCATGTGTGTATTTGCCAGAATTAATTTATAACAGAAGGCGACCACAGAGTTGTATCAATGTTTTAGTGGAAAGATCAATTACTTTAAGCGATAAAAAACAACAGAAAATTACCTCCATTTGCATGACAAGCATGGTCATTTGCTTTGGATGTGTATTACTAAAAATCAGAAATATATACTATAAGTGTAGTTGTAAGTTGTAGTAGATGCTTTTTGGTAGTTTACGAGTAATTAATTGTGTAATGCTTAAGAGAGTCATGCAGTGAGGATAGTTTTGGTTTCTCTATTATCTATTACACACGTCAAAAAAATTTTTGGTTAAATATAGTGTTATATTTTTGTTATTTTTAACACTATTTTCATGATTTTTTTAGCAAACTGTATATAATTATATTAACTTTAATTCGTAAACTCAGTTTTTTATAAACTTTAGTATTTGGCATATTATACAGGGTTAATCGAGGGGTTGATTTTTTTACCCTACCTTTAAAACACCCTGTGTAATGATTTCGTTCGTAATTTTTCCTAAAATATAATTTTACAGTCAGAACCATGACTCCAGAGCATTTTGTTTTTTGATTCATGTCAATACATGCTTTCGTTAATTTTTTAGAGCGAAATGAACTGATCACGATCAATTTGCAGTTTTTTCAATTATCATTACTTTTTGATGTAATTCTTTAATATAGCGAGATGGTTTTGGTGACTATTGTCGTAACGTCATATTACTCTACATTAGATACTGTATACTAAATTAAAGAAAAAACGTTAAAAACTAACGATTAACTCATCAAGGAGGCCGAATTCGACAAAATATCAAGAGATAACTTTTAATTGGCATTAAACGGCCTACATAATTTAGATATAAAAAGAAAAAGTCAGTGACATCCCAAGTAGCATTTTCACGACTTGCGACCACATGTTTACTAAACACAACGTTGGATTAGTTACAAAAAATAGTTAGCTCCCTACCTTGGGTATTAAAATAAATTTAAACGTTTTTATAACGTTGTGCCGACGTTGGACTAGTACTACAGCAAAGTAGGAAGCTTCTGCGACGTCGAATAAACGTTGTCTTCTAACCTTTTTTGCTTAAGTGATCTTTAGGTGATTCGGACAACTGTAACTACGTTGGACAATATATAGTTTTCCGACGTCAGTTTCAGGACCTATTCCAACGTTATGCAAACGTCGTCTGTTTTACTAATTCCAACGTTGTTTAGATTTCCTTATTCTTACGTTGGTAGGACGTCGAGTCACTACCTTTTTGCAACTGTATTGAACCATAACCTTAAATCTTAAATTTTCACTTCATTGTTCTGTTCAGTCAGACAGTTCAGTGCTGTTTTTATTTTTTATAAAAAAAAACTTAATTAAAATGGGACATAAGAAAGGTACATATAAAACTAAATTTAAATATACATCGACATATATTACCGATAGTTTATCCACTCCCTCGTTTATTTAGATTATAGAGTGCGGCACAAGCTAGAGTCTAGGATGACTAAATTAGGCAATCTTGCGACGAGTATACTACCTGTTAAGGCCGAACTGCGACTTTATTAGTCCAGTATGCGACTACTCGAACTACTCCATCTTAATCTCCAAAACAACAAAGTGAAAGCCGCCATGTTGTTAAATAAGAAAATGTTTCGTTCCTAAAATAGCAATTCCTGCTTTTTGAATACATTAACTTGAAATATTTGATCCTAAAAAACACGCGGAAACAATTTTTTCGACTGCGAATAAATTATTCTCATTTACTAAAAAAAAATTCAAGATAATTTTTAAAACTTCTTTAATTTTAAGGCCCATTAGTATTTTTCAAAGTAGAAACAATACATTTATCAATAAAGTTGTTTGCGTTTAACTTTTTTGTCTTGGGTAACGAGTTACAGAGTCGGTTAAAGTGTTTCAATAATTATGATCTTCAAACATCCTCCACACTTAAATACTTTTGTTTTGTTTTCCTTCACTGCCATCTGACATATGTCTCTAACTAAATCATAAAAATAATATTTTTACTATAATTATCCCAATTTAGGATAAAACGCGACTTAGACGCCATATTAGTTTTGTATTTCTGTGAATTAGATTTTAAACAACGTTGCAGTTTGTACTAAATTAGGCTTCTAGCCAACGTCGGTATCCAACGTCGTTTCGACCCAAAAATTATTCTCCAAACTAGTGCAGACTAGGGTTGGCACGAGGTTGTGCCGACGTTGCGTCCCGACGTTTGGTCGCGTGACACAACGTTGTCCCGACGTCCAAATGCTGCTTGGGATATGTTTCTTTTTGAAAGATATTCCAGTGATAACCCATATGCACGTCCATGATGAATTTATCGACACTTTTTTGGATTAAAATATATGACACTTATACTAACTTTTACCTTCAAAATTTCATTCGAATCAGTAAAAGTACTTGGAACAAAGCAGAATCGGACCTGTGTTGATATGAATAATAAATCTTATTTTTACGTGAGGAAACTCCCCACGAGAGATGGCATATATTTTTTGAAACACCCTGTATAAATAATTATTTTGTATCTACCTTAATAACGTATGAACACTTATTTATAGAATGCTACCCTCGGATGTTGGAAAGTTATGGACACTGTCACTTTTCATCACGATCGTTCCCAGTACGTTCCAAACTGCATCCTGTCAAATAAACAACAGCACGTGGGTGGAGATGAGAAGAATTACCGGACTTTTCTTACACCAATGCCTGCTCAACGATATAAAGGTAAGAGGACTCTAGTTATTGACCGGAAAACGTTAAATAAATACAGCTTGCCCCAGTTTTCTCAGTTTGGATTTCGAACCCCTCTCTGGACCAAATCGGATAAAAGCAATTGTCTAGTTAATCCAATTTTGGGGCTTATACGATGCAGCAGATTGTAAAGGATGTCGATAAAATACTAAACAAATAAACCAGTAAATTCCTTTGCTTTCAAAAAAATTATCAATAGATTTAGTCTTAAAATGACGAAAAAATGTTGTAAAAGTAGTAACCTCTTGGTGTAAGTGGTTGTGTATGTAGTGTAGAGATGAGCAAAACTGCGATTATCCAATCGCAATTGAAACTGCGATTGAGATTTTTAAATCGCTGCGACTGTAACCTGCGATTGCGATTTTAATATTTAAATATTTTACTAGGCTTACAGTTGAGGGTTGGAACCTTTGGTGTTACACAGCAAAATAAAACACTAAATCACCACAATACACCAAAACACTTTTACTTTAACACTGGACGCGCGTTTCGCTAACCATGTCAGCATCATCAGCAGATGATTAAAAACTGTTTTAAGTTTTATTTTGCTATTTTACTAGGCATTCTATTCAGACTGTCATTTTCTATCGAATAAAGTAAAAAAATACCAAGAATGTCATTTAAAAAAAAAGTTGTAGTTATTTCTGGTGAAACAGGAAGCGATTGAAACGAATTGAATACGCCAATCAATCCTAATTTATGTTATATGCTTACATACCAAATCTCGTTTTTTTTTTATCAGAAAAAATAAAAAAGTTATAGAGGCGAACTACTCTTGAGAAGTACCCGGTATATTACCGATCTTGGCCCTAGAAAATAATACCTTCTCTATAAATATATAAAATCAGAGAAAACATTCAATCGCACAAAATTAAATTTGCAACAAAATCGCAAATCGCAACTCCTAAAAATACAAACTCGCAGATAGAAGGTTATCACGGTCCTAGTTTACAAAATCACAATCGCAACAAAATCGCAATTATAGTAATATTGTTGCCTAAATTGAAACTCGCAAATAGAAAAAATCGTAGTCGCAGTTTCCTATGACAGCTAATCGCAGGTTCCGATTACGATTTTAAAATCGCTGCGATTGAATCGCAGTGCGGGATTTGTTGCTCATCTCTAATGTAGTGTATCAATTAATGGAACTCACTTTATTGTTATTGCTTTATTAATTACTTAATTACTATTTTTAACAATGATACCAAAATGCAAAAATAATACGACGAGCTTTTCAAGTGTAGGTAAGTGTCTTCGTCTTCTGTCATTCGCGTATTAAGAATGGGCACAGTGATGGTATTGATAATATTGCGGTAATAATAATACTGGTTATTGCTTCCGGATTAATTTTCTTGAATAATTCAGTAATAAATTGGTTTTCCACTTGTTGGATACATTTTGGCTTGAGATGAAGCGCCTATTCAAAAACAGGCGGTTCATCTCACATATTTATCTAAATATATTTCTTTAAATTCTAAACATTCAGTTTTGAGACACTCTGTATACATAAATAAAATTATTGATTTTTAAAATAGTATTCGCAAACTAGGGAGGGGGAAATCAGGCGACGAACAGAGATAATAATTGTTAAGTAATAGCTTTGAGACGACCATTCGAGATGCATTGATGTTATTTTGGTTTGTAAGTTTTATGACAAAGAAGTTTATTAAAGGTAAAGTAATTTTATTCTCATTATTTAACTAGTGCTAACTAAATAATCATATAGCTTATTTGTCTGTTGTAATATTGGGGTAAAGATTTTCCTTATTAATTTCATCTGATGACATGATTTAATGGATTCGATTTATGCTGTGAATAATTTCAGTTTAAAAGTAATCTTAATGCAATCGTTTACCATCCATTCATGCCGATGTTGGTGGTTCAGTGTGAGAATAAGGGCAAAACACTTTTCGACCGTAAATGGGCGAATATCTTAGCATACAAAAGGGCAAACAAAAACAATAAATAGAATATCTTATAATCTAGAGATATTTGCACTAAACCTTCAATTATAGCTTCGAGTTCCGCAACATTAGTACCTACGGTTGGGGTCCCGTTAAACTAAGAAAAGCTTTTCAGTTTTGAAGGACATAAATGTGGCAGGTTTTGAATGTATGATACTATCAACCTTGGTATAGTACAGTTTTTGTATTATTATTATTTCTTTTTAAAGTTCAGAACAGCATAGTTGGATTCTTTGGAATAGTGATCAAGGTTTTCTCTGATGCCTGTGAATTCCAGGCAGAATACGGCACTCGTTTCATTTCATTTAATAATATAGGTAGGTCTATTTACAAATTTCGTGTTTCATTTACATAACATATTCTCCTCAAATTTCCCAAAATATTACTCCTCTCGAGGCGCATCCAAAATAATCACAATAAAAAATATTTTTCAAACAACGTAGGTTCCTTTACTTCATTTAAATTTGCTTGTTATTCAGTTGACCAAAATATTACCTCTTCAACTTTGTCGAACGACCCTGGGTGGTTATACTACAGGCTCAAACTTTATCTATTTCATAGTACTGATAAACTATTTTTATTTCAGAAAAATACAACGGAGAATGAAAACAATATTGGCTTAATCTTCAAGGAGTGCCTAAAACAAAAAGGACTGAACGTTCTTGATCGGGTATTAAATCGAGACGTAATAGAAATTACGAAAAGCATTGTCTTGGTGAGGCGGAATAACGAAAATGAGACGTCAAATCACACAGAATGGTAAGAAAATAAAATCTTCATTTCTTGTGGTGGGAAAATACGAGTAAATTATGTTGTACCCTGCGTAATGAAATATTTTTTTAAAAACTTCTGGTGATATTTATTTATTGAAGCATTGGTTTACCACCTTTCAATAGTAGTGCATATTACTATGATTATATTATGACCCCCGTTTATACATTTGATGAAGTAGATAAACTGATTATAACTTTAAATCTAAAATTACAGTTCCATATTCATCATAGTTTCTGCATGATTATTTGGTATATGTGCTCTATAATTGCAAAACTTTTCTTCAACAGAAACCCTTTAATTACATTTCAGACTTTCATTAGAATTCTAGCTAGCAGGAAATAGCTTTTATGTAAATATTTAGGTTGATAAAAAAGTATGATACTAATTAAATTAAAATTTTCAAATAATATTTATTTTTTATTTTTGTAACTAACCAAAATATCTGAATTTCGCTACCCAAACAAAAAAGTATTCCTACCATTTTCTGAAAGTTACTGAAAGAAAAAATAGCAAAAATGAAAGAAAAAATGCAGAAATATCTCTGGCACAAGGATATTAACATAGATATATATTTTTAGAATATAGTCTGGTTTATTTTGATATTGGGTACCGTATGATCGAAAAAAAATGGCGTCAAAGAGGGGTGGAGAATTACAATCGGTGATAATTTTGGCGCGGTCAATCTTTAGAAAAACTGCCTATCAAAAACATGTGTATAGCCTAAACGTCAAATTTAGCGATTACCACAGCTACTGTGCCATAAAGAGAAGACATTTGGCTATCTATTTCAAAAATTAAATTTTTCGAATTATTTAAAAAATCTCATTATAATTCACTTCCGGTGATCAGGAACAGTTTTGCTTAAACATTTAACACAGAATCAACTATGCATAAACATGCTGTCTATTCCTACCAAATATTCCGTTAAGCGCTCTGTTGTTCTTTTGTATATTTTTCAACTTAATTTAACTGACTGGTCGTATGATACTTTATCACAAAGCTTTTCAGTATTGCGGTCATGTCGGCCATTGTGAATAAAAGTATCATTAACTTTCCGCAAAATTGCCTTAATACCCATAAAACGTATATTTCGGATTATTGTCAACGTTATTTCTTTTCTCTATGTATTCTTTACGTATTTTTAACAATAGATATATTTCATGTTGACTGAAACTAAGAAAATTTTGTTGAATCTATTTTTTTAGATTTTGTCATCTATTTATTAAATTTAAAACAATATACAGGGTGTCCCAGAAATAAGTGCAAATATTTTAACTGGTAGTATAGTTCAACCCCGGAAACACGCCTATGGTTCTCAAAATTTTAACAAAAAATCTTTTTTTTGGAAATTTTCAAAGCTTCGTTATTTTGGACTTAGTTGAAATACAATAAAGAGAAAATATGATTTTTTTATCGAGATGTACCACCCCTTAAAATACTTGCACTTATTTCTGGGAGACCCTGTATATTGCTATACAGGGTAAATACGTTAAACAAACATATTTTCTTCTTACTGTCTTTTAAGTTTTTTTTTAAATAAGTCCAAAATAACCGAGTTATTTTACTTTGAATATTAAAAAAAATGATTTTTTTCTCATATTTTTGAGAACCACTTGATTTTGCTGAGTTTTTTTTTTGTAAAATTAATTTGCTACCTAATGTTTGACCAGCGGATCTGAAGCTACGGAAGGAATGCGAGAAAAAAAAATCGATATTGCCACGTTTATCTATAAAATTGCAAAATTGCCAGACATGAACTATAAATTTAATATATTTTTATTATATATAATGTGTTTAGCATATATTCTGACGTATATTATTAAGGAATTTTAACGTAGTTCATATTGTTCGATATGTTTTATTTAATAACTTATTTCTTTCATTCTGTATAATCTGCTTATTATGAAAGTTGAAGATTTTTCAACGATATCATTGGCAAACCGGCATCGCCGCGCATGGCCGCCTATTCATCGAACATGATTGGCGAGAGTGCGTCACAGGATTTGTTACCACGCGGTTGCCATGGCTTTTACGCCTTTCCTATTCGCTTGCTTTATCCCCAACTTCACGGTCTCTTCTGAAAAGAGTAGGAATATTGAATACTATTGAAATATCCAGTGGCGGTGTCATTTTTTTGATCATTATTACTTTATTTCATTATTTTATACCGGTTATCCTAAACTTTATTCCTATATTTTTCGTATATTTGATAGTTAAGTTGTGTTTTATTGTTTTGTTATCTTGTTATAATGTTTTTCGTTCGTAGTTTTTAATTATTAATGTCAAGTTTGATCGTATATTTGTGTTTTAAAATGAATAAATTTATTAAGGGTAAGACCTATACTTAAATTCAAATATTTATGTCAAACCAAAATATCAAAAGTTATTTAATATTTTAAGAAGTACTCTTTTACTACTTGCCTTGTCATCCAAAATAACAATTTAACTAAAAATATACTTACAGTAATACCACCGGATATCGCAAGTACCCCTAGATGATGATAATGGCGTAATATTGCGAAAAACGCTCCAAAAAAATCGATCAATTTTATTTAATAAGCGCTGACGTACATCAGAGACAAATATAATTTTTGTTCGGTGATACACGTGTTGGGTAAATTGGTATTTTTTAAAGCTATATAGGGCTATGGTCGTTTTTGTCTTCCAAATGGCTTTTCATACAAAAACCACATTAGGAAAAGTTTTCAATTTAGGAATGTGAGTTTCAAAAGATGCTTTGTCTTAGGTAATAAAGGATTATACTAAGTTCCTAATAAACGTTAAAATATATATAGATGTTCCCACATATACCCATAAAATATTTTGTCTTCCCAGGCAATGTGCATAATTTAAAATTATTTTGAAATGTACAGGGTGAGTCAACGATAGAGTAAAGTCCATTATCTCATTTGTTTAGAGGTTTACAAAAAAATGTTAAATATAAAAGTTATAGGGAAGGTTAGGATACACATTTAAAAATTATTATAGAGTATACAGGGTGCTTCAAAAAAGTGTGGCGGATATAACATATGCTTTTTTAAATGCAACACCCTATTTTTTATTTTATTTTTAGATTCTGCGTAAAATTTCATAACTTTTTTATATATAATGTTATATACCTTAAATTAATAGTTTTTGTAATATTTAAATTTGCTTAAACAAATGTCAAATTGCAGTGTGATAAAAAATTGTCAGAAGTACTATTGTTTCTGAAGTTGGAATACCAAAATTTGGTATGAGAGTTTTATAAAGATGAGAAAAAAGATATATGTAAAGATACTTTAGTTAAATGCTGCAGGGTGTTCAAAATATACTTATGAATTTCAACTACTTAAAATTAAAAAATCTCAGATTTTTTAAATGGTACACCCTATATATTTTCATTTTTTCACATAGATTTTGCAAAGCTCTTCAACCTTTATTAAATATGTTATATACCTATTTTTAATAGTTTGCGATTTATTCCAATTTTTTCTATTTTTACCATATCTTTAATACAATTAGGGGTACGCTATGACATCATAGTTGTCATGACAAAAAATAAAAATGATCAAAATTTCATGTCTGTTAAGCAAGTTAAGAACAAAACGTAAATTTTAGTTTAATTTGTTGTAATAAGTATAAATGGTAGAGGTAGAGATAATAGTTTTACAGATTTTCCTGAAAATGAATTAGTCAATGTGACTGATATACACGAACAAGCCAAGATAAACATATTTTTTTTGGCTCAGTACTATATATTATATAGTACTTTGCTAAGTACTATAAGAATTAGATGTAGATTATCTAGAAAACATTTTCATATTATATTATATTATTTTCAGTGTGTAATGGGACGATTTCGCGGCTGTAGTAATATTGGCTTTATGAAATGAATTATAAACCGGAATTACTACGAGAAAAAAACTTTACTGTATGTCGAAAAAAAATCCTATATCGGTAGTCGTCAACAATTACATAATCTAGTTAGACGGAAAATCGAAGTGTTATCTTTCGTAATATAGAAATACACCAAGAAATTCACGACTACGATTTTAGTTGATTTGAGTAAATTTAATTAATTTAACTAATAATAGGAATTATTGCAATTAATTATTAAACTACTCGTTAAAGATAAGTAATAAATACTTTCGTTTTGTCACGGCAACTATGATGTTATAGCGTAACTGTATTAAAAATTAGTGTAAAAATAGAAAAAATTGGAATAAATCGCAAACTATTAAAAATAGGTATATGACATACTTAATAAAAATTGAAGAGCTTTGCAAAATCTATCAGAAAAAATGGAAATATATAGGGTATACCATTTAAAAAATTTGAGATTTTTTAATTTTAAGTAGCTGAAATTCATAAATATATTTTGAACACCCTGTAGCATTTAATTAAAATATCTTTACATATATCTTTTTTTTCATCTTTATAAAACTCTCATACCAAATTTTGGTATAGCAACTTCAGAAACAATGGTACCACTGACAATTTTTTATCACACTGCAATTTATCATTTGTTTAAACGAATTTAAATATTACAAAAACTATTAATTTTAGGTATATAACATTATATATAAAAAAGTTATGGAATTTTACGCAGAATCTAAAAATAAAATAAAAAATAGGGTGTTGCATTTAAAAAAACATATATTATATCCGCCACACTTTTTTGAACCACCCGGTATACTCTACAATAATTTTAAAATGTGTATCTTAACCTTCCCTATAACTTTTATATTTAACATTTTTTTGTAAACCTCGAAACAAATGAGATAATGGACTTTACTCTATCGTTGACTCACCCTGTACAGGGTGTGTCAGAACCTCGGTCAGAACTAAGATCCATATAAACTAACTTTTTTATTATAGCACGCATATTTAAATATCTCAAAAACCAAAGATTTTAGATATATTAAACCCTTATAATAAATGCCTTATTTTATGTCCTAGAATCCAAAAATTAAATAAAATACCGGGTATTCCATAAGAAAAAA